GGGCCTAGACCCCCGAAACGTCAGCCTTCCTGCTCCTCTGATGCTGCTTGGCCTGCTGTGTTCATCCAGCTCTACACCTTGTTATCTCAGATTCTCCAGCATCTGCAGTTCCTACTATCTCTGAGGCGTTCTGAGATCCTTGTGTTTGCCAATAGGATGTGATACTTGCGGTATTAGCTTGGGTTTGAGTGCTAGTCTACTGCAAAGGGAATAGTAGAAAAAATACCCACTAATTACCCCAGCAGTGCAGGTAAAGGATTCTCTCACTCACAGTGAAAGAAGCCAGCTAGCTGGCAGCGATTGTCTAAAGTAAACAGGACAAATGGATTCCAATTAATCTGAAAAGCAAGACTCCTGAAACTGAGGTCAACATTCCACTACCTACTCTTCAAGAATGATCTATAGGTACAGATTTGTACATCTTTTAACTTTTATCCCTTTTTGGACGCAACTCTCATTTCTAATCTGTGTGCATGAATGTCACACTATTATTTATTCTCATGTTTAGTAATTAATAGACTTACACTTTTGTTAACTCAAGAACACATGGTTAGATTGGTTCTTTTTAACAATATGGGCTACCCCATATGGAAATGAAATAGTTTGGATTACCTCACTGGGGTCTGACCATAACAAACTGGGGACTCATCTGGGATCTGGTGGTAACAACAGCAATGTGGTAACAACCAGGGAATCTGTTTAAGTGAAGTAAGTCAAGTGGTGAATACTAGTCAGGAGACTGGAGGATATTCACTTTCTGAAGAAGGTGACAATGTTCAAGAAACTTTCCATCTTGCTCACATCAGCACATTGCATGAGACATGGGTGCTGATCAGTTGGCAAGTTGATTGATTGGTAATTGAGGCATTGCCACGGAACCATGCAAAATGCTTCAAGGAATTATTTTTCCTTTATTTATTCATGGATGTGGGTGTCATGAAGAGGGCTACCATTTATGGCTCATCCTTAATTGCCCTTGAGAAAGTGATCTTGTGCTACCTAACTAAATCATTGCATTCCATGTAGTGTAAGGACACCCATAGCATTGTTAGGAAGGAAATCATAACATTTTGACTGACTAATCATTCCAAGTCAGGTCAGTAGCTAAAAGAAAATCTTAAAGAAATGGTGTTCCCATACCTGCCCTTCTGTATCTAAGTGGTAGAGGTCTGGGATTTGGTAAAATGTTGTTGAAGGAGGCTGAATGAGTTACACTGCCGCCAATGTGTGTTAATGATGGAGGGACTGAATGTTGAAGAGGGTGGGTGGGTGGGATGCTTATCAAATGGG